AATGGAGATAGATCTTACAGACTACATTTTTACGTGCAATATAAATGTTTCAAATGCATACGTAATTATATGTGAGCGGGTGTTTTGGTCGGCATTTAACGGTGAGACAGTCAATTTTGTCACTAGAAAGTCTAAAACACACGTTTTGAAGTACACCGTCGAGAATTAATGAAAATTGCGACTACGCCACCATATTTTTTTATTACAGCTTGATTCCACATCGTATTTTGGTACAATTATGGAATTTTCAGCATGGATATCTGTAGCCCAAATTTTTCAAGCCGACCAAAGATATCACGTGTGCGTTGGCAGGGAATCAAACCTCGGACCGTGTGCATGGTCGGCAAGATTCCTAACCACTGTGCCACCGACGCACAGAACAATTCGAAACCATTAAGACAGACTTAATTATCATGATATAGGTCATGAAGCCAGGTTAGCTAGAGTTACAATGCCTGCAATGCAATATACATCAGAGGACACGAGGGATTACAGACATTTAACTTTAGCTGTCAAGGAATGGCGGTTCGCGCTCATAGTCTCAGGAGCAGTCATTCGATACATTGCAATAGGTTTTAAAGTAGAATGGTACCCAGTATGATGCTTTTTCATTGGTTTATACAAGTTTGTAAATCCGCGGGTTGCAAGCACTTTGAAAATAGACGAGCTTAAATGGTCCCATTAGAGGTCATGCTGTTTATGGGTTAGTAATTTAAAATAAATAGAACACGAGAGATTAGACACAGTGTTATGATGGATAGATTTTTACTATCCCAGGATTTGGGCAGACAGCCAAAAGTGATTACACATGTAGGGTTCACATAGAAATTTCAAGTTAAATCGAGAGCATTCGTGGGCAATACATAAGCCACAGATGAGGAGGAAATATTATTAGGCTTCAATTTCCCATTGGTGGTGTGTAAGTTAACTCCCTGTCTGCATTTGTCACCATACTATTTGTGTTTATCCTCATCCCACACATTAGATCTCATAGGCATGAACCTGTTGTCAGCCACGTCTCGCAAACCGTTAATGCCCAGCTTCTGCTACGCTGGGACTCACGCTGTTCCTCGAAGCTTCTCAGAAACGCTTGGTACGAACGGACGCAAAAACCAGAACCCAGTTTGGCGACTCGAGAATAATTTATTCTAACACCAACTTATAGCCAATGTACAACTAAGCTTTACAACTAAAGTCTATGAACAAACATAACAATAATAAATCACAATATTACTTCTGACGGTTTTTTTACTCTTCTTTCTGAACAGCGACCGATGAGACGATGACTGTCGTATTCATGCCTCCGCGAAAATTGGGGAAGTTGGTTTTGAGCAAACAACCATGAATTGATCGTTCAATCTTCAACTACATTGACAAGCATCTTTTCAACTTAAGGTGGAAATGTCGCGTGTATCAAAGTTAGAATCGGAATAGGAATACAAGCTTGCAATACTCTCAAGTCTTTGTCGAGGTGTACAGCACTTAGCATCAAAAATAAAATCCGGATTTTCCGCTCCAGTTTAAAGTGAGTGCTACCATACTTATCAGTTGTTTTCGCTCAGTACTCAAGATCAGAATGCCGGCCAGAAGATATCAGCAACATGGATCTCTGGGAGCGAACCAATCTAGCAGGAACCGATTGTGAAACAAATAGGCAGGAAGGCTAGTTGGTCTTCCAAGTGTGACTTGGATGTCATGTGAAGAGGAGATGAATGCATGCGGGCAAACTTGGAGCGGGGTGAGAAAGTTGGCAGAAAACAGAAGGCAGTGGAGATGCTCAGAATATCATCATAATAATACAGCAATCGTGAGTGTTATTTCTAGTTGAAGACGACTATAAACGGGCTCGAAGTTGTTCAGACAACGTTAACAACTAGCTTACTAAACCCTGTCTTAATAGGGGTTTTTCTGATCCATATTGTTTGTTCACCCTGCCTTCATATTCTTTTGAAAATGCCACATTAGTCCGCTTTCGCTTAGTATGAAATAGGGTGTACTTACTCGACAGTTGTTAATTCCATTATCTTCACCATCTGAGGTTAGTCTTAGGCCTTGACTGAAATGACGTGGCATTAGTGTCTCGGTCTGAAGAACACCTATTGTTAAAGGCAGGTAGACGCTGACAGTTATGAGCATAAAGCCTACCGCGAGTTATTTCCGCGCATGCTTAAACTGACACCATGACAGATATCTCAGCCATTTTTAAGGGCTGGTAACACACATTCAAAACAAGTAAGCACGACAGCACACCTCTGATCCCATAAGGCCAACTGGAAGGGGAAATTCAAACCGTAACTGATCACGTCCGTCCTACCTATTCAAGCATAGCAAGACGAAAGCCAGGCAGATTCGTTTCACCACAACTTACTTCCTTGCCCTACTAGGAATAGGTGAAGAGTATTATCAAGATTCCAGCAAAAAGCTCACCGGCTGGAAGGGGCAAAGGGTGTTCCCCTAAGAGCAAATAATGGTCAGGCAAAAATGGTCGCTTTCAAAGAGGCAGTCAGAACACACCGTTTTGAGTAATTGCTTTCGCTAGTAAATCTTAAATAGGCGATATGCACAACCAAGGCCTATTTAATGCGTCACAGTGTTTCATGATAGCCAAATGATCAACGAAGTTTAGTGACGTAGTCAACTAATGCACGAGTCTAAGTGTTAGTGTGATCATGTAAGAGCCTTTTGATACGAAATGATAACACAAGAGGAGTAATGCAGTTTTCTCTTTATTACTTAATGATACCCTTTGAGAAAGTGGTGTTAAACGCAACATAATAATAACAGAATATTTGTGATAAATGGGATATACGTTGCATTGTGTACTTGAAGTGCCTAGACTACTAATACAAGTTGTCTGCATATAGAACCTATGTTTGCTAGGTTATGTTTCGTTATTACAGTACGAACACATGTTTGACGGCTACTTTCTTAACAATCTTGAATATTAATCTTATACGCAACTGAAACACTTTACGCAAGGCTTGATGACGCATTGAGGAAGTAATAACAGTTTATGACTGACGCATTTTACATAAGTATTAATACGTTGCCTATCATTCTCGTTAACTCTGCAATGTCCTCAAAATGTTAAGTAAAAGAGACAAAGTTAGTTGACATAAACGCATATATTTGTAAGGAAACAATAATCAGTCAAGTTAAAAATGACTCAGAATAAAAGAGTACATATATACACTAAAAAGAGTTAATAATAATCCAGTGAAAAATCGCAGTTGTAGAGTTTTTTATAGCTGCATCATAGTCATCATAAAGTCCACCAAACACTCCATCCGCAACATCTGTGTCAGTTTGCCTCCGTTGTTAGTGGTGTTGGACCAGTCTTGTAGTTTTCGTCACCACCAGTTCCGTTCGCAGAAACTGGATGTGAACTTTTCAAGCGGAGATTGAGATTGTATTCCTTCGAATGCCTTCGGCCGTATTGAGAAATATCTGAAGATGTATACATGTCAGGTAAATTATTCTTACCTTTGGTGAACAATTCCTAATCTTAGCCACAGTGAATATGTGAACAAGGCAAGGAACAACTACAGAGTTGGTGAAATTCTATAGATTAATCTATAGAATTTCATGGACGACTAATTAGTCGTCCATGTATTCCACGATAGATTTCAGGAATCGTGTAACTTCAAAATCACCTGTCACACTTTCTCTTCTATAAAAAGCAAATATTACACAAGTGACTCTTATCCATCCGTTACAACTAACTGTAAGAGATAAAATCTTCAAACTTTATACTTCTTTGGTTAAGTTACCTAGTAGTATTCTCCTTGTTAGTGGATCTAATGCTTCTCACATCTGTGAAATTTATAAGCATGTTAACATGTTCCCTTAAGCTAAAAAATATAATGTTTATCCGCTTTTATTATTGCTATTTCAAAGCCCTCCTCAGTAACGTAAGGCACGTATTAGCCGCAACGTTTACGCAAGGGAAAATCTACCAATCACAGTGTGCGTAAGTGACCTTCAAGTGCTCAGCCTCTCCATAAGCCATTTGTGCCTCTATCCTAATGGACAGTTCCACGTGTCTGGAACCTTCCAAAGGTTTATCTACAAATCTAAGATGTAGTTAGCGAACTTTAAGAAGTAATTACGTCTGTGTAAATCAGTCATGAATATATTGGATATCCTATTGTGGTACAAGGAATCCTGAGGAGATATTAAATGAAAAGACCTTTAAATGTGAATTAGAAGATGAGGAGTCCATAAAGTCGTTGTCGGACGGTGGTTTTTAGCACTACGACTATGCTCAATACAGAATAACCTTTGACTGCACGGGATATCAAGGTACTTCGCAACCAAGGTCTTTTTATTGTCACAGACACTCTTTCACTGCTATGTATAGAGCTGGTATAACAGTAGTTAGTATATATACATATATATTGTTAGGTTCACTTTATTTGAAGTGGCCGGTGGTCTTCTCCGTTTAAGACCGATTATGTTTTCTTTGCAAACTGCTGAGAACGCAGAAAATTTGTGTTTTGGTGAAGCACTTTAAAGAGATTCTTGGTGACATTAGTCGCGCACTGACAGTATTTGTGGACTAACAGTCTTGGATCCAAAGTTGGTACAGAAAACCTTTCCAACTTTGAGAGCTGTATTGAATTCCTTATGTGTTAGAAATGATTTTAGAAGGAAGATATCACCGCTTCGTTCTACTGACTTCCATATTACCGCTTGAAAATATTAGTACGGGCTGCATTTTCGCTGAAATGACGTCAGCTCTTTGAGCAAATAGGTAAGTAACTGCTGCTATTTAAATCCTTTTAGTTTTGAATGTGATTTACAACGGACAAGGAAATTGGATTGTGAAATTAACGATCATATTGTCCAGGTTTGGAAGCCGATAAAAATATGTTAGTACCTGCATTCCCACAGGATGTTGTCACACTGCGTTTCAAGGTAAATGGTGTAGTTAAGTCGTTCCAAACCTGCTTTATTAAGGTTGTAAAAGAGTATAAGTGCTTGGTAGCTTTGCACAAGGAATGAAGGCGTATTGTAGAACTTTACAAACTCAAGCAATTATTCACTTTTCTAAGTACAAAAGGTACTCTGTAAACAGTGACATACATTGTTTTGTAAGCAGACTAACGAATTACGCTTCGAGTAAAAACATACTGACTTCATACATGAAAGTGATGTTACTGAAGAACTAAATGAAGCTTTCGCAATCTGTTCAGATGATGGAAATTCTTACCACGTCGATAGGAATATTGCAACATGTATGTGTCCACTAAATTCTGGAGCATCATTACCTTGTTGTCATCTAGTCGAAATACACTCTTCTTTTGGACTAAATACAGGTAATTCCCTTTGGTCATAAACTATTTTTGGAAATAGATACTCCACACACCTTTTAGATTCCAGCGATGGATCAGATCTCATAACAAAGATCTACTATCTACAATATTGAATTTTGGAATAAAAAACGATGTCTAAGTTGTGGTAGCAATTGCGGCTAAAAGGTCAGTGTTCTCCAACTGTTATTGTTGAGACCATTACCCGGGTAAATGATCTATTGAATTCCTTGGGATTGAAAAGTACAGATATGGTGACCAACTGTGTGCCGTCCACTCTGTTTCCCTTGAAGTTGGTAACAACTACTGAACAGAAAGTGAGTTGATGATTCCTTCGATGCGTTCCTACCAGTTACAGTCATATCCGTTGACATGAAAGACATTTGAATTCCTTGCGACACAGTTGGCATTTAATACAGTGAATAGCAACGTCGCGCTTGAACACTAACAACATTAGTAATATGCTGAATTCAGTGTCATATGTGTACAAAGCCAGTTATCAAAATATCACCAGTCATGCAAGAATGTAAATTACCCATTGTCAAAATATAAAAAGACTTATCCATAAAAACCCGACTTCTTTCAGAACAACCATAATTTTCTCCATAACGGTACAACCATCATACGTATCCAGCTTTCAATATGTCCGAAATTTCAGGTACTAATTATCCTAATCCGCGAAAAAAGAGATTATACGTATCACAACCAACGTCACGATATTTCAACCCATTTCCTCACAGATGAATTGTGTTGCCCTGAGGCTTTCAGCCGTATGAGCATGGTATGTTCTGTATTTGTCGTACACGATGTGGTGGTCGATTGTGACTGGTTTCAGTAGCATCTTTTATTGTCCCAGTTACGTTATCCCTCTTCTTCTGTTGCAGCTTCACACGCTGTTCCGCTGTAGTTTCGCAAAATTTCCTGTCTATTAAAGATGTGAATGTCGTAGTTGTGGTTCATCGTGTGTTTGTGTGTGTGTGTGTGTGTGTGTGTGTGCGTATTAATGAAATCATGTCATGGGTGTGAGGGTGAGGCCACTGATGCGTATGGTTGGTGGAGAAGTCGTTGAATTGTTGTTGTTGTTCTGGTGTTCTCTTCCTCTACTTGTACTTCGTGTTGTTGACGACATTATAGGTGTTAGTGATGGTGAAGAGGACGACATTGGCGTTATTGATTGTGATGAGTGTTGTGTGCTTGAATATGTGTGTATCATAGGTAGAGGGTGTTTGTGTAATGATTATTGTGTAGTGTGTTCATCGAAGGTAAGGTGTTGGTATTCGATTGTGGTTGGAGGCGTGGATGTTGTCGGTCATTTAGAGATTCGTGTCGACGTGATGATGAGTTGGGTAGGATAAGTTGATTGTGACGGTGTTGTTGATGAGGATGTATCTGTTGTTGTTGTTGTTGTTGCTGTTGCTGTTGTTTCTGTTTATTTGTTGTGTGTATTGATGGTGTTGGAGTTGTATTTTTCTTGTTGAATCGTTGTGTTGGGTATTGTGTTTGTTGTTTCGTGTTGGTGAATGATTTTGAGGTATTGAGTTTTTGGATAGATGATAGTGATTTGCTTTGTTGTTATTTTGAATTCGATGTTTGTTGTGGTAAAGTGTTGATTGACTGTTAAGTGAATGGACGTTGGAGTAATGAGTTGCATAGTGTGTTTGACGACTGTCAGCGAGGTGTCGATAATATTGTGTTTGTTGTGAATGTGTTGTGATTATCTGTGGTGTGTATTTTGATTGATGATTAGAGGTGTTTGATGGTATGATATTTGATGTGTATTTTTAAAAATTTAGATTGTTGTGTTTGACGAGTTTTGCTTTTGTCGTATGAGTGTTGTGTGGTTGTCAGCGATGTGATGGTGTGTTGTGGCTTTTGAGATGATGTGTGTGCTAGAATGTTAGGCAAGGTCTCCACATTCCTGGTTGCTGTTCCATGGAATACTAGTCATCTTGCGAAAGGGATATTGACCTGTGCTGTTGTGTTAGCCTCTGTGAGGAGGTGACTATGCACGGTCGGACAAAGACGACGAGCTTCCATGTTATTTGCTGATAGTTGATTTGTGTTGTTGTGAGTCTGTCGGCTGTATGGGGATAGTATGTTGTGTATTTGTCTTTGAGGATGTGGCGGTTGATTGTGAGTGGTTTCAGTGAGGGAGTTTTGTATTCCTAGTTTGGTTATGTGTCTTGTTGTGTGGTGGTCTGGCGTAATTTCCTGTTGTGTATTGAAGATGTTGTGAATGTCGTAGTTGTGGTCCATCGTGTGTTTGTGTGTGTGTGTGTGTGTGTGTGTGCGTATTAATGAAATCATGTCATGGGTGTGAGGGTGAGGCCACTGATGCGTATGGTTGGTGGAGAAGTCGTTGAATTGTTGTTGTTGTTCTGGTGTTCTCTTCCTCTACTTGTACTTCGTGTTGTTGACGACATTATAGGTGTTAGTGATGGTGAAGAGGACGACATTGGCGTTATTGATTGTGATGAGTGTTGTGTGCTTGAATATGTGTGTATCATAGGTAGAGGGTGTTTGTGTAATGATTATTGTGTAGTGTGTTCATCGAAGGTAAGGTGTTGGTATTCGATTGTGGTTGGAGGCGTGGATGTTGTCGGTCATTTAGAGATTCGTGTCGACGTGATGATGAGTTGGGTAGGATAAGTTGATTGTGACGGTGTTGTTGATGAGGATGTATCTGTTGTTGTTGTTGTTGTTGCTGTTGCTGTTGTTTCTGTTTATTTGTTGTGTGTATTGATGGTGTTGGAGTTGTATTTTTCTTGTTGAATCGTTGTGTTGGGTATTGTGTTTGTTGTTTTGTGTTGGTGAATGATTTTGAGGTATTGAGTTTTTGGATAGATGATAGTGATTTGCTTTGTTGTTATTTTGAATTCGATGTTTGTTGTGGTAAAGTGTTGATTGACTGTTAAGTGAATGGACGTTGGAGTAATGAGTTGCATAGTGTGTTTGACGACTGTCAGCGAGGTGTCGATAATATTGTGTTTGTTGTGAATGTGTTGTGATTATCTGTGGTGTGTATTTTGATTGATGATTAGAGGTGTTTGATGGTATGATATTTGATGTGTATTTTTAAAAATTTAGATTGTTGTGTTTGACGAGTTTTGCTTTTGTCGTATGAGTGTTGTGTGGTTGTCAGCGATGTGATGGTGTGTTGTGGCTTTTGAGATGATGTGTGTGCTAGAATGTTAGGCAAGGTCTCCACATTCCTGGTTGCTGTTCCATGGAATACTAGTCATCTTGCGAAAGGGATATTGACCTGTGCTGTTGTGTTAGCCTCTGTGAGGAGGTGACTATGCACGGTCGGACAAAGACGACGAGCTTCCATGTTATTTGCTGATAGTTGATTTGTGTTGTTGTGAGTCTGTCGGCTGTATGGGGATAGTATGTTGTGTATTTGTCTTTGAGGATGTGGCGGTTGATTGTGAGTGGTTTCAGTGAGGGAGTTTTGTATTCCTAGTTTGGTTATGTGTCTTGTTGTGTGGTGGTCTGGCGTAATTTCCTGTTGTGTATTGAAGATGTTGTGAATGTCGTAGTTGTGGTCCATCGTGTGTTTGTGTGTGTGTGTGTGTGTGTGTGTGCGTATTAATGAAATCATGTCATGGGTGCGAGGGTGAGGCCACTGATGCGTATGGTTGGTGGAGAAGTCGTTGAATTGTTGTTGTTGTTCTGGTGTTCTCTTCCTCTACTTGTACTTCGTGTTGTTGACGACATTATAGGTGTTAGTGATGGTGAAGAGGACGACATTGGCGTTATTGATTGTGATGAGTGTTGTGTGCTTGAATATGTGTGTATCATAGGTAGAGGGTGTTTGTGTAATGATTATTGTGTAGTGTGTTCATCGAAGGTAAGGTGTTGGTATTCGATTGTGGTTGGAGGCGTGGATGTTGTCGGTCATTTAGAGATTCGTGTCGACGTGATGATGAGTTGGGTAGGATAAGTTGGTTGTGACGGTGTTGTTGATGAGGATGTATCTGTTGTTGTTGTTGTTGCTGTTGCTGTTGTTTCTGTTTATTTGTTGTGTGTATTGATGGTGTTGGAGTTGTATTTTTCTTGTTGAATCGTTGTGTTGGGTATTGTGTTTGTTGTTTTGTGTTGGTGAATGATTTTGAGGTATTGAGTTTTTGGATAGATGATAGTGATTTGCTTTGTTGTTATTTTGAATTCGATGTTTGTTGTGGTAAAGTGTTGATTGACTGTTAAGTGAATGGACGTTGGAGTAATGAGTTGCATAGTGTGTTTGACGACTGTCAGCGAGGTGTCGATAATATTGTGTTTGTTGTGAATGTGTTGTGATTATCTGTGGTGTGTATTTTGATTGATGATTAGAGGTGTTTGATGGTATGATATTTGATGTGTATTTTTAAAAATTTAGATTGTTGTGTTTGACGAGTTTTGCTTTTGTCGTATGAGTGTTGTGTGGTTGTCAGCGATGTGATGGTGTGTTGTGGCTTTTGAGATGATGTGTGTGCTAGAATGTTAGGCAAGGTCTCCACATTCCTGGTTGCTGTTCCATGGAATACTAGTCATCTTGCGAAAGGGATATTGACCTGTGCTGTTGTGTTAGCCTCTGTGAGGAGGTGACTATGCACGGTCGGACAAAGACGACGAGCTTCCATGTTATTTGCTGATAGTTGATTTGTGTTGTTGTGAGTCTGTCGGCTGTATGGGGATAGTATGTTGTGTATTTGTCTTTGAGGATGTGGCGGTTGATTGTGAGTGGTTTCAGTGAGGGAGTTTTGTATTCCTAGTTTGGTTATGTGTCTTGTTGTGTGGTGGTCTGGCGTAATTTCCTGTTGTGTATTGAAGATGTTGTGAATGTCGTAGTTGTGGTCCATCGTGTGTTGTGTGTGTGTGTGTGTGTGTGTGTGCGTATTAATGAAATCATGTCATGGGTGCGAGGGTGAGGCCACTGATGCGTATGGTTGGTGGAGAAGTCGTTGAATTGTTGTTGTTGTTCTGGTGTTCTCTTCCTCTACTTGTACTTCGTGTTGTTGACGACATTATAGGTGTTAGTGATGGTGAAGAGGACGACATTGGCGTTATTGATTGTGATGAGTGTTGTGTGCTTGAATATGTGTGTATCATAGGTAGAGGGTGTTTGTGTAATGAT